AAAAAAAAAAAAAAAAAAATGAAGTTAGACTCCTTCTTACATCATATAACGAAAAATCAAAATGGATTAAAGACTTAAGTGTAAGAATCAAAACCATAAAACTCCTAGAAGAATAAAAAGAAAATCTCTGACATTACTCTTAGCATTCTTTTTTTAACATATCTCCTCCAGAAAAGGAAACAAAAGGAAAAATAAACAAATGGAACTACATCAAACTAAAAGGTTTTTGCACAGAAAAGGAAACCATCAACAAAATGAAGAGAATGGGAGAAGATATTTGCCTATCATATTTCTGATAAGGGATTAATATCCAAAATTTATGAAGAACTCATACCACTCAACACCAAAAAACCTCACATAATCCAATTAAAAAATAGGCAGAAGACTAAAACAGACACTTCTCCATAACTAACAATATACAGATAGCCAATGTTCAATGTCACTAATAATTAGAGAAAAGCAAATTAAAACTGCAATGAGATATCATCTCACTTCTGTCAGAATGGTTCTTATCAATTAATCAACAAAAAACAAGTGTTGGTGAGGATGTGGAGAAAAGGGAACCCTCTGCACTGTTGGTGGGAATGCAGATTGGTGCAGCCACTATGGAAAACAGTATGGAGGTTACTCAAAAATTTAAAAAATGGAACTGCCTTGTGACCCAGTGATTCCACTTCTGGGTACATAATGGAAAAAAAATAAAACACTAATTCAAAAGAATATATGCACCCCTATGTTCATTTCAGTGTTATTTACAATAGCCAAGACACAGAAGCAACCCAAATGGATAAAAAAGTTGTGGTATATTACTTGGCCATAAAAAAGAACAAAATCTTAAAATTTGCAACAAAATGGAGGGATTTAGAGAGTGTTATGCTAAGTGAGATAAGTCAGACAGAAAACAACAAATATCATATGATTTCACTCATACATGGAATCTAAAGAACAAAATAAATGAACAAACAAAACAGGAACAGACTCAAAGATACAGAAAACAGACTGCTGGTTGTCAGAAAGGAAGGATATTGAGGGGATGGTTGAAAAAGGTGAAGGTATTAAGTACAAATTGGTAGTTACAAAACAGTCATGGGGATATAAAGTATAGCATAGGGAATATATTGTAATAACTATGTATCATGACAGGTGGATCATTTTGTAAAGTATATGATTGTCTGTTCGCTATGCTGTACACCTGAAACTAATACAAAATAATACTGAATGTAAACTGTAATTGAAAAATGAAATTAAAATAAAAATTTAAAAAGAATAATGTTCCATAAGGAAAACTATATTGAAATGCTTTATTATGCACTTACCATTGCAGCCTTCAGTGCCACAGAATCTAGGTTGGGAAAATTAGCTAAAGAACCCTAAAATAAAAATAAACAGAAAAAGAAAAAGAAACAAGATGTAAAAAACATGCTATGCATTTTTGTTCATTTATAAAACATAGTCCATTAGTGAACTGCCCACATTTGGAGATTTAGCTTATTTCCAAAGAACTCAAGTATCATCTCTTCAACCTCAATTAGAGTAGGGACAATGATTTGTTCACTTTTTTATAAGTAGCAAAAAGGCACTCAATAATAGTTGTTGGAGGGAGTAAAAAGCACATATGTTTATTAACAATGGAAAAATCAGGATATCTCAGATTTATTTATAAGCAAAAAAAAAAGGCAATTAGGCACTTAGAAAATGGCAATGAGACATGGAGGCTTTATGGGTTTAACTGATAATTTTAGATAGTATAAAAACAGCAGAATTGGTTCCTTCTGATAGAAACTTGCTTTCTACTTTATCAAAAGAAAAAATTTAGAACTTGTGATTTTTGACAGCTTCATTTAAGAATTCCTGGAATATAAAATAGTCTTCATGTAGATGTCATTTAAAAGAGTTATTTGCTTTTTAAAGAAAGATGCTTACCTGGTTTTCAAGGGTTTCTATCACTCCTTTTTCTAGTTCTACTGGAGTTCTATTACTTAACATGATGATATGCTGGTCCCAGAAGTATTTACCTTTCCAAAGTAATATATCATGATTTGCTAAATTAAGAAAGGAATGGCTGCTATTTATATAGTAATGTACATGTTCAATTAACTGAAAGAGATATAGGACCCTAAAAAAATTCCCAGAATGAATACTCTTTATATACTTTATATGAATTTTTGTATATTTTCATTACTTTTAACCCAAACTATCTGTGATAAAAAGGATAGTTCATAGTTTGGGGCACTCAGGTAATCATCTAAGAACTATACATGTATTATCTCACTTAATCCTAGAATAACCCTATGAAACACATCCTCCAAACTACAGAAGAGGAAACAGAGGGATACGTCATTTTCTGAGTGAAAAATAGCTCTAAAGTGGCAGAGCCAAGATTCAAACCAGAGTCTAGCTCTAGAACGCATACTCTGAACTGATATATTTCTCTAATTAGGAACATCCACGTGCTTACCTGTTCAGGTTTATGCTGCTGTATGGTGTTATAGATGTAACTCAATCCTGCTCTAGTTAAAACATAAGAAGCTTGCTCATTTATAAGTGTGTCCAAATGTGCTTCAATCTAAAATAAAACACAATAAAAAGAAAATATTTCAAAAGAGATATGAGACTGAGGAGAGTAGAAGACTACCCTGCAGTCTTAGTTCTTCACCATGGGGCTGTTCCTTGAAGTGGCTCTAACACCAGACTATCGGCCACAGGGACTGCTTCTGTAACAAAGGCTCTTCCTTCCCCTAAAGAGGAAGTCCTTCTTCAAAAACGAGAGAAAATCTTACTTTCAAAGATGATAATCAAAAAGAATTTCAAAAATTTTGAGTTGCTTCTCAGCTCTTTTAAAAGCCAGTAATAAGCAAAAGAAAAACAAACACACACACTAACAAACAACAATGTAAACTAAAACGCTTAGTAAGAATTCTGGGAAGATAAGGGCCTGATATTCTTAACCTCCTCACTCCCTCACCTTCCCAACTTGCTAGACTGACTCCATCAATCAAATATGCCATCTGGAAAAACCTGAAGTAAATCCCACCGGGGCTGTAAGTTCTCCTGAGGAGAAAGTAGGTATTGGGACAACAGGGGAGAGTTGAGGACCCAAATGACATTTGGTCAAAGATATCAGATTCAAGAACTGCCTAAGACTCAGCTAGCAGAAATTACTTGTATGTGCTCATCTGCTTTGTACTCTTTGGGAAGCCATCTAACACTAATGTAGGCAGAAGCCACAGAAGAGAATCACCCTACAGGTTTGAAGTATTCCCTAGTAGGAAGAAGTCTGCTGCTCCCTTATTTTACTTAGTACAGGCCTGAGAGTATGGAGGTCTTCCTTCTACTCCTCCCCAGAAAGTTCCGTAAGTTTTACCATTTTGTTTGCCAATGACACTGTACACTACTAACTGTGCTGTTACTATCTGAATATTTGCCATTGTCTAAGTAACTTCAATAGCTGAGCCCTTCCCCATAAAAAACTTACAACTGTTTAAAAGAGGTGAGTAGGTTTTAAGAGGACACTCATCTGAATAATCAGAACAGGTATCTCTTCTTGGGGTAACACTATTGAAAGACAGAGTACTTTTAAGTAATTTTCCAATAAGTCTAGTAAGTAAGGGCTCTAATTTTACTTTTTTAAGTGAATACCCAAAAAAGTAAAATCAGAGTCTGTATTTACTAGACTTATTGGAAATCCAAGAAAAACAAGATGTACAAATGTAACATTTAATGAAAGAGTTACTGATTAGAACCAAATTAATATCTGAAGGAAAAATTGAAGAAAAGTAACACAGAATAAACATCAGAGAAATAGGTTACAGTGAAGAGGTTTAAAAAGAAATTAGAAGAAAGATTCAAGAGATAAAGCCAAATAAGGACAGGAGCGTCAGAATATAAAAAGTAACAGATGGAGAAGTAATAATTAAAGATAACAGAAAACTTTATTGAGCAAAAGAAAGGGTTGAATCTTCAGATTGAAATAGCTCTGAAAAGTTGAAGATAAAAATAAGGGGAAAAGACATATACCAAAAAATATCCTGAGGAAATATCTGAACTCAAAGGAAATCCTTACAAGCTTCCAAATGGATAAAACAGATTACCACAAACAAAAGAGAAACAAACTAGCCGAGACTTCTCACTTGAAATACTAAAGGAAGGCCCAGTCGGGCATGGCTCAGTGGTTGAGCATCAACCTAGGATCCAGGCAATCAGGGTTCAATTCCCGGTCAGGGCACATGCCTGGGTTGCTGGGCTCCATCCCCAGTCGGGGGTGTGCAGGAGGCAGCCAATTAATGACTCTCTCATTATTGATGTTTCTATCTCTCTCTCTCTCCCTGTCCTTTCTTCTCTCTGAAATCAATAAAGATATATTAAAAGATACATATACTAAAGGAAGCTTAGTAAGTGTAGAAGAAAATTAGCAGGATTAATAGAAAAGGTCTGAAAATCAAGGATCTTTTACTTAACAAGGTAAACTGCTACTTTGCGGGGCCTAATAAACCATGTCTTCCAGTATCCACATACTTATATAATCCTTTCACACACTGTCTATGAGCTGGTCCATGCCACTAGTACCAGCCAACTGTCTGTCAATAAGAATAATGCAAGTGCACACTTAATAAGCACTTATACAGTGGTGCCTGTTCTCTTGAAATGCAAAAAAATGTCTATGGATATTTAAGAAATGCAGGTAATTGGTGATAAAACAGGTTGATGAACACCTGATATACCTATATATCTTGAAAAAGATTTAGACAACAGGAAGAATTTGGAGTTGAATTAGTGATAAATACAGGAAAAACTAAGTTTTTAAAAGAATTTTATTAATTCTATATAAAAATGTTATGCAGGAAAGAAAAATTAATCATACTTCATTATGTTTCTTTTTAAATAGAAAATATCACAAATTTAGATGGATCACACTCTTTCCTCAGAAAACCCCAAAACTTTACAAATGAATTTTTACTATAGCCACTGCCAAATTGTTTATATACTTGTGATAACACAACATTCAGCGTTTTAAAAAAAATTACAGCTACGGAAAATCACTATTTCAAAATCAGAACCCAAGTATCTGGTAAATTTTCTATAAGGTTTTGTTTTAGCCATTTTATAATCTCCTAAGTGATACCATTTGGTTTAAGGAAGAGAGTGATTGGTATAACTAATTGTAACGTTTTGCCTAACACTGGTTTACACACAGATAAAAATGTATCTGTCCTTTATAACACATTTTGGACTAACCTCACAGCTTGAAAAACATACCATATTATTATTTACAGTTCAGAAACTGAAATCTGCATATAGAATAATTGTTCAAATTAATCAGAAAAGCTTCATTCTACCACCACATACTGTGGTTTGAATATACTATCTTACCCATTACATATTCTGACTTCTCCAAAACAAAACTAAAATAGTGAATATGTGTGTGTGTGTGTACATGTGTGTGTGCCCTCCCATCAGACTATAACAAAGGATTTATAGGAATTAGGGCACAAAGCTAGTAACTGAGATGACATATAGAAAAAGATTCCATCACAGTAAACAATCATTTTATGGCAGAATTAACCTGAAACTGTAGCATTTCCAAACGTCTGTCAGTAAATTCAAATAGAGCTAATGTTGTCTTCATCATATATAGTGAATTCACCATGAAAGTTGCCATGTCAGCTGTGCCTAAATTGCTGGCTGATACAGTACACATCTGAAGGAGAGGATCCAGGACACAAGATAAAACCTGCAAATGAAAAATAAAATAAAATTTATTCTTTCATTCCCAATGAGTGATACAGGCCTGGGTTAATGGCACTTCTGAATGAATGCCAAACTAATTTGAAGTGGGCCAACTTACAGAATCACATAAGAAAAAAAAAATTAAATGGTATAATAATCAGAATAGTTTTTAAAATGAGTATCACTGAATGAATACTTTTTAAATTAAAGAGAGCTGATTTATATTTGAAGGAAAAATCAATGGGAGAGTTTGTCAAAATATATGTCATAAAATACCAGAATTTCAACAGAATTTACAATAGAGGAGTAATAAGCAATAATTAAAAAAAAATTTACAACATACCTGCACAAAATCAGCTTGACGGGCATCTAGTGGTATAACTGAAGAATCATGAGATGCCAAAACTTCACGCAGCAACATGAGTGTCTGATTTAGTGCAGAACTTGGTCCAAGATCAGGTGGTGGGAGTTCAACCTAAAATAAACTATGGTTACCCACTGCTTATATTTTCCACTAAATTTTAATGTATAAATAAATGCCAGTTCACGGTAAAATAATACATACAAAAGTTGTAGAGCTGGCACATTAGAAAATCAGTAATTTATCAACAGCTTATATTATCCTAATCAACACAGAAAGTGACACAAAAGCTTTTTGTTAGATTATCTTAGAATTAATATGTCACAATTAGAAGTAAAGAATTTATACCTTTAATATTCAAAAAATTGTGAGAAAATTTAGTGTTCTTGAATTGCAGAATTATATTTTCATATAAATTTGAAATGGCCTATTTTGGTTTTCAGCCCAAGTTACAAGAAAAAAGCAATCCAGAGACTGCACTTCAATAGCTATAATGGAGAATCATCACCCACTCTTAGGCTCAAATCTCCAAGATTTTGGTTCAATATGTATAGGTTTGGGGTTTAGAAACCCATCTTTCAACAAGCACCCCAAGCAATTTTCAAGAGACTAGTCCATGGACTATACACTGCACAGCACAGAAACAGTACAACACTGCCACTAAAATCTTGGGCTCTGGAGTTAAGGAGATTAGTTTTATACTTTGGATCTACCACTTACTAGTGGTGTCCTTATAAAAATTATTTAACTTCTCAGAGTTTCAGGGGAATTCTGTAAGGATTAAATGGGATTGTTGCATCTAAATTACTGAGTAGAGTATCTGGCACTTACTGAAACAAATGCCAAGTTCATTATCTCTACTTGCAGGCATATGATAGCCAAAAAGAGGTGCCTATCAATTAAAAAAGGAAACAACATTTTTCATAGTACTTATAATATTAATATAGTCAGATTTGTAAGTGAAACAAAATCCAGTACTTAGAAGTCCATGTAATAGACTACAGTCTTGTGTCAGGCAAACAGAAAGGCATAAGAATTTTAAAATATCAGATTTATATTAAGAATGTTTTATGTATAGAAGTTAACACATAAGTGACATCGGCAGGAATGATAAAGTATAGACCTCTAAAAATATTCCCTCCTTCATAAAAGCAACTAAAACAAAAAAATTTAAAGACATGCAAACAAACAAAAATTATGGTCCATGCACAGAAAAAAAAGTCAATAGAAACTTTCTCTAAGGAAGTCCAAATGCTGGAAGCCAAACACTTTAAACCAGTTATTCTAAATATGTTCAAAGAATTAAAGGAAATCATGTTAATAAACTAAAGGAAAATATGAGAACAATGTCTCACCAAATAAAGAATAACAATAAAGAAAGAGATAATTAAAAAAATAACCAAATAGTAAATTTACAGTTGAAAACACAATAACAGAATTAAAACAAAAAACAAACAAAAAAAACACTATAAGAAATCAACAGGAGATTTGAGCAGGCAGAATAAATAATCAATGAACTTGAAGATAGGTCAATTAAAATTAGTCTGAGAACAGAAAGAAAAAGAATGAAAGAAAATTAACGGAGCCTAAGAGACCTGTGGGACACCAATAACAACATAACTAAAATGGAGATCTCAGAAGAAGGAGAGAATGCAAATACAGTATTTAAAGAAATAATTGCAGAAGACTTCACAAATCTGATTTCTGAAAATCTATCTAAACACCCAAGTTCACGAACTCCAAGTAGAATAAACTTAAATAGATCCACAGAGATATATCATAATCAAACTGTCAAAAGACAAAGAGAAAGAGAGACTATAAAAGCAATGAGAGATAACTCATTATGAACAAAGGATTCTCAATAAGATTAACAGTTGACTTCTCATCAGAATACATGGAGACCTGAAGGCAGTGGATGAAACATGCAAAGGTTGAAAGAAACAGTCAACCAAGAATTCTATATTCAGCAAAATTATTCTTTAAGAATGAAAGAGAAATTAACACATTCCCCAAAACACAAAAATTCTAGCAAGCCTGCTCTACAAGACATTAGCGAGACTAAATCCTTCAGGCTAAAATGAAGGGACACTAGACAGTAACTGAAATTCTCATGAAGAAATAAAGAACACATTAAAGGTTCTGACATAAGTAAATATAAAAGAATATTAATGTACTTTCTGTTTGTAAGTCCCTTTTTTCTCCTATCTTATTTAAAAGATAACTGCAAAGCAATAATTATAAAACTGTTGGGGAACACACAATGTATAAAGACATAATTCATAACAATAATACCATGAAGGCAGAGGATAATGGGACTATATAGGAGCAAAGTTTTTGTATATTATTGAAAGTAACTTGGTATTAATCAAAACTAGAATTATAAAGTAAGATAATTGTAATTCACAGGTCACCACTAAGAAAATAACAAACTATTCATACACACACACACACACACACACACACACACACACATTTAAATAAACAGTAAGGGAATTAAAGTAGCATACTAGAAAATATTTACTTAATACAAAAGAAGTCAGTAATGGAGGGACTGAAGAAGCAAAAACACTTAAGAAATACAAGAACAGATAACAAAATGGCATATATAAATGCTACTTTATCAGCAATTAAATTAAATGTAAATGGATTAAACTTGCCAACCAAAAAGCAGAGCCTGGCAGATGGATTAAAAAAAAAAAAAAGGCCTGCCTATATTCTGTGTTCAAGAAACACACCTTAGATTTAAAGATACAAAAAGCTTAAAAGTAAAAAGGTGGAAAAAGATATACCTTGCAGACAGTAACTAAAAGAGCCAAAGTGGCTACAGTAATTTCAGACAAAACATACTTTAAGATAAAAACTGCCACTACAAAGGACATTTGTATAATGTTATCAGAAAGATATGACAACTATAAAAATATTTTCATCTGACAACATAGCCCCAAAATACTTAAAGCCAAAATCAAAAAAATTAAAGGAAAAATATCTTCTGTAGTAAGGAAATATTTATTTCAAGTTTCATACCTCCTTTAGTTTTATTTCCCCTTTTCTATTAAATTCAAATAAATCTGACCTAAGAAAAACTCCAGAATATAAAGTCATCTTTATAAAAGTAATTTTATCCATCCATTTTTTTAAATCCTCACACAAGGATATTTTCCCCCCACTTGGGCTTATTTTTTGCAAATATGTTTTTATTGATTTTAGAGAGAGAGGAAGGGAGAGGGAGAGAGAGAAATATATGTGAGAGAGAAATGTGGATTGGCTGTCTCCTGCACGCCCCACACTGGGAATCTAGCCTGCAACCTGGGCATGTGCTCTGATCAGGAATCAAATCAAGGACCCTTTGGTGCTTGGAAGATGCTCAAACAACTGAGCCACACTGGCCAGGGCCGGAAGACATGTTTTTTTAACTGAATTTACAGAGAGAGGAAGGAAGAAAAGGAGGGAGGTCAGGGGTTGGGGGGCAGAGATGTGAGAAACATCAATCAGTTGCCTCCTGTACGGGCCCCCACTGAGGATCAAACCCACAACCTCGGTATGTGCCTTGACCAGGAACTGAACCTTCGACCTTTCAGTGTATCAGACGATGCTCCACCCAACAGAGCCACAACAGCCAGAGCCATTCATCCATTTTTAAAGAATAGCTAAAATGTTATTAAATTGATGGTAACAATGGTTAGCTAATGTTATTTCTAAGTGGAAAGATTTTTAAAACTTTTACCTTTGAGCTTTTTTGCATGGTGCAAATTTCTTATGAGTAAATGCGTATCAGTTTTACGAAAATTATACAGTGATCCCTGTCCCCAAAACTGAAAAAAAATGCCAACCTGTTAATAACAGTTAATTCAGAATGACAAGGTATGGGTGGTTGTTATTCTCTTCTCTGTGTTTTCATATGTTTTAAAATAAAATAAATATCTATTTAATAAAATAAGTGTATTCATAAGTTTAGAAATTTAATTAAAATATACAGGTATAACATATAAATGCGTACATATATCTAGGTAGCGTAAAATGAACAGAAATTATTCATATAAAAAATTACTTGGCAATGGGGGAGGAAAGGGGGCATCTGTAATACTTTCAACAATAAAGATAAAAATTTTTTTAAATTACTTGGTAGAATCTCTACATATCATAAGATTGGCCAGAAATCTAACAGCTTTAATTTAGAATAGGGAGCCACATAAACCAGAGGAAATGTGTGTGTCTCCATTTCGCAATACCTTTCTTAAATAGAAAAAATAATAACAAAGAATTTACCAAATCCTCCAGGGAAGCTAGGTGGGGTGTAGACCTTTAGTACAACTACACACGCTACATCATTAAGATCCTAAATTTTAATGTGTAATATTCTCTTCTTAATTATAAACTATGGCATAGTAGCTTTTAGAAACAAAAGAACTTAGATAATTTCTTTCAAAAATTCATTACAATGTTTTAAAATTGCCAATAAAAACAAAAGACCAATGACAGAAATCTTATGCACAGATGCCAGAAAGCTGAAATCTTTTTTTCATCCCCTTGAATTAAGGTCTTTAAAGGCTGTACAAATTTAAGCAGAAGTCATACCTGCCATAGTTAGAGCCAATGGTAAATAATACAAGTGAGTACTACGTGAACTTACTTCATTCAACAAACTGCCATTCGATGAGGTGCTTTTACACACATCCATCAGATCAGCAACACGTCAGAATCATACTTTTAAAGCAAAGTGAAAAGTGTGGCAGTTATTAGATAAACAAGAGTTATGACTTTATACTTCTGTTGAATAAATAACAGAAAGAAGGAGGAAAAAAATGAGAGAGAAAAACTCATGGACAGCAGTGTGGTGACTGCCAGTGTAGGGGGAGATGGAAGAAGTTATAAAGGGCAATGAAAGAAGATTTGAATTGTGGTGGTGAACACACAGAACAGTGTTCAGATGTTATGTTGTGGATTGTGCACCTCAAACCTGTCTGATTTTGTTAACCAATGTAACCTCAATAAATTCAATAAAAAGGAAGCAAAATAAATACATAAAGAGAAATATCTGATTGCTATCCTTCTATCACTTTAATGTAATTTCATTTAATGAAGTGAAATTAATTTCTAATGGTTAAACTTTATAC